CGAAACTATAAATTAAATAAATATTCTTATTCAAACTAATTTTATAAACATAGAAGAACTCTCTAATAATCAACAATATTTGTATCAAAATAAATTAAATCCTTTTAATATAACTTACAACTTAAGAGATCTAAAGAAAAAAAGATATAAGTATATTAAAAACAAACTTTAAATTCTTAACCTCAACTATTTGTATCTATTACACAATATTAACTTGAAATCTCTAAATTATTTGATCAAATTTAAATCAATCTAAAATATATATGTATCAATCATAACTAAATATACTTTTTTAAGAAATAAACTATTTCAAAATTGAATTAATATCTTTTTAATCTAAATTAATTGCTAATAATATTATCATGGTAATCATAATAATTATATAATTATTCCATGTTTATGATATATGAATATTAATTTAATCAACCATTTAATTTTAAACTAGTTTAATTATTGATTGATAAATAATTATTTAAAATATTAATATAAATTATTCTGAGCAATAACTCATTAAAATAATACTGATATATCTATCATACAATTAAATTAATATTTAACAATTATTCCAATCTTTTAATTAATTTAAGTGTTCTTCAAAAAAAAGTATTTAAAGAATTTAACTTTGATCTCTCTATCAAAATTGTTTCAGAATAATGTTCTTAATTGTTTAATCTAAAGTGAAAAATGAAATATAAAAAAAAATATTACTAAATTCAATGATAATTTAAAAAAAGTTATTTCAATCATATTCAGTTTTGAATTTCTATACTTCTGCATTTTGAAATCTTACTCTTATGGATTTATGTTTTTTTTCTTAAACTAATAATAATATAATCAGTTTATTATACATTCCTTTTTGAATTTATTAACAGATTCTACAATTCCAAATCTTAAAAGTAGTGAATTTTAAGTTTTCAAAGGACTTTGAGCTATTCATATTTGTAAAAGAATACATTACAAAATGATTCTTTATTTTATGTTTCAACTAAATTCTTTATTTACTTCTCAAAATTATGGATTTGCTTTTAGATCTAATTTTAACAATCAAGTTCAATTTATTTTTTTTAGTATTTATACTCTAAATTATGATATCTAAAATACCTTATCTTATTTTTTGTTACTTTTACTTTTTTAATTCTTCTAAAAAAAGAATTTTGTCTTAAAGATTCTATCTTAAACATTCTTATAAAATATCAGTCGCAATTTATTTTTGAATTAATGAGTTTTACTTATTATTATGTTCTGCTAATTATTTTAATTCTTTTTATTATAATTTAAGTGTCGCACAACTTTAATTATTGTTATTTTTGAGAATACTTTTATTTGTTCTTTCACTTTATGAAGGACTCTCCTTTGTTATTTTTCTACTAGACATATCACTCATAATAAAATAATCTGAGCTTTTCATATTTTATTGTGGGAAATAGATAAAGTTCTATTTATCATCATAAACAGAATAAGTGGATTTTTCATTTGAATAATTTGTTGAATCATCAATCTTTGATTTTGTAAAACTCGATTTTCTATATGAATATGAGAGAACTGACTGCAATTATGAGATGTGATTTTTTAGGTATTGTAAATTTTTAAGGTTCTAATTATTTATTTAAGGTTTATATGATTAGTATTCAATATTGCTATAAAGACCTTATTATTATTTTCTTGAAATTCCAATTGAATGGGAATTGAGATCACAATTTTACATAAATTTAGTATGAGAAATTTATTATTAATTTTTTAAAATAAACATAAATGATATTTTTTATTCAACATTTTCAAGCTAAATAGAGAAGTGAGATGAAATAATAGATTAAAATTGAATTATGTTATATTGCAAAGATAAATTATTAAAATCAGAACAAATAATGAATTTTTTTATCTAANATTAAATTAATATTTAACAATTATTCCAATCTTTTAATTAATTTAAGTGTTCTTCAAAAAAAAGTATTTAAAGAATTTAACTTTGATCTCTCTATCAAAATTGTTTCAGAATAATGTTCTTAATTGTTTAATCTAAAGTGAAAAATGAAATATAAAAAAAAATATTACTAAATTCAATGATAATTTAAAAAAAGTTATTTCAATCATATTCAGTTTTGAATTTCTATACTTCTGCATTTTGAAATCTTACTCTTATGGATTTATGTTTTTTTTCTTAAACTAATAATAATATAATCAGTTTATTATACATTCCTTTTTGAATTTATTAACAGATTCTACAATTCCAAATCTTAAAAGTAGTGAATTTTAAGTTTTCAAAGGACTTTGAGCTATTCATATTTGTAAAAGAATACATTACAAAATGATTCTTTATTTTATGTTTCAACTAAATTCTTTATTTACTTCTCAAAATTATGGATTTGCTTTTAGATCTAATTTTAACAATCAAGTTCAATTTATTTTTTTTAGTATTTATACTCTAAATTATGATATCTAAAATACCTTATCTTATTTTTTGTTACTTTTACTTTTTTAATTCTTCTAAAAAAAGAATTTTGTCTTAAAGATTCTATCTTAAACATTCTTATAAAATATCAGTCGCAATTTATTTTTGAATTAATGAGTTTTACTTATTATTATGTTCTGCTAATTATTTTAATTCTTTTTATTATAATTTAAGTGTCGCACAACTTTAATTATTGTTATTTTTGAGAATACTTTTATTTGTTCTTTCACTTTATGAAGGACTCTCCTTTGTTATTTTTCTACTAGACATATCACTCATAATAAAATAATCTGAGCTTTTCATATTTTATTGTGGGAAATAGATAAAGTTCTATTTATCATCATAAACAGAATAAGTGGATTTTTCATTTGAATAATTTGTTGAATCATCAATCTTTGATTTTGTAAAACTCGATTTTCTATATGAATATGAGAGAACTGACTGCAATTATGAGATGTGATTTTTTAGGTATTGTAAATTTTTAAGGTTCTAATTATTTATTTAAGGTTTATATGATTAGTATTCAATATTGCTATAAAGACCTTATTATTATTTTCTTGAAATTCCAATTGAATGGGAATTGAGATCACAATTTTACATAAATTTAGTATGAGAAATTTATTATTAATTTTTTAAAATAAACATAAATGATATTTTTTATTCAACATTTTCAAGCTAAATAGAGAAGTGAGATGAAATAATAGATTAAAATTGAATTATGTTATATTGCAAAGATAAATTATTAAAATCAGAACAAATAATGAATTTTTTTATCTAAATCTGGGAGTTTAGGTAATTTTCGCAATCTATTACCATATTCTCTTTATTTTTCATAATGGATATCAAGATTTTTCTTAGAGATATTTGGTTTAAGTGTTTACAATTTTTTAATCAAATTCATATTTTCTAAGGAACTATTAAAAGTATTGTTGGGACTTTTAAGATCTGTTTAAGAAATGCCTCTAAATCTATTTAGATTGACATATGGATTTTCTCTTACTTTAATTCTTTCAATTTTGTCATCCAATAACTTAATAATTATGAGATAAGAAATACTTTTTGTAATTTATCTTATGCATTTTATTATTATTGTTTATTAAATTTTGATGTATGTTAAAGCATCAAAAATCGAGAATTAGTGGCACTTTTATTTTATTCAATTGTTTTATAGATGTTGATTTTGTCTTTATCAATTTCTTCCATTCTTTTAAAATGGTTGTAATACTCTTCTAATTGATAAGATTCAATAGTAGGATTATGGATAATAAAGCGATTAGCTTTCATATATAAGAGTTACTTAATTAATTAAGTTTATTGATAAAATTAATGAACTTATTGTATGTATTTTATATTGGTTTACTCAAGCGAGTTTGATATCCTCAATATGAACTGGAGTCATTGGAACATATTTATAAGATGGATCTGCATATTTAGTTTTCTTAACATGTTCAGATTATGTTGATCTTTCTTTGATAATTTTTGCATGTTCTTTATGATACTATATTTTTGAATATAATAATGATTTATACTCTTTTCATCATTTCTGCTGTATAAATTGAGCTAATTTCTGTATAATGTGCAGATAATCTTTGATTTAATGTATTTAATGGGAAATGTAAAGAATTTGTAGCCTTCTTCATAACATAATCCAAATTATCAGGACTAAGAATAACATTAAATTCAATTACTAGTATGATCTGTTCTCAGAAGAATAATATACTAATCTGAATAGACCTGCTAATACAGCTATAGGACCCAAGAAAACTGCAGCTCTCATTGGTCTTAACATATGATATCCTTGATGTGTTAATCCTCTAAATATATAGATTCATATTTCTACTTCAATACTGAGTATTTATGACCCATAAAGGCTGTGGCAAATAGTACTCTTCTGTTGAAGTAAATGAACATTTAATTTGTTGGATGATAGCCAAATTCTCTTGGTCCAATAAGGAAAAATCTACCAATCTTTCCCAAAAGCCCTTCATATTGAGTGTAATTAAGCTACCTGATCTTTTAGCCAATTTCTCATTGACAACAACTGAGACTGGTTATAAAAACTTTAACCATGCCTATTGAATAGGATTCATCTTAATTAAATAAATGTTATATGAAACAAAGAATAACAATTACTAATTGTCCATTCATAAAACATGATCAAAATCACTTCAAAAATTTCTTTTTTTTTGAATAATACTAAAAAAAATCATCGACAATCCAAAAATTACTATTTCCATCAAACTGATAGCTCAGAATATTATTATGATGTAAATAGAAATATATAGAGTTTATGATTGAAATCATTAGAATAATAAGAAAATGAAATTTATCAAACTTTTATTTTGTGCTTTAGATGTTGATATTAAATATTTTAGAAATAAAAATATATTATGAAGAAGTAATATATAAACTAAAATATTTTAAACAAGAATTTCTTTATAATATAATTAGTATTGAATGGATAAATAATACTGATTTTCTAAAATGATGAAGTTGAAATTCAGAATATCAAATATATATAAAATGGGTATTTTAAATAATTTTAATAAAAATGTCTGAATATCATGATGAGTTTTAAGAAGACCAATAAAAATTGAATGCCTTGAACCTGTCTTGGACATTGGGGTTTAATTATAAAATGGTAAATGGAGTTCACAATCTTACTAATGATTCTCGTAAGGTATGATCTATCTTAATTTAGGAAATATTCTATGCAACAGCACACACAGGAGTAATATTTGATTATGGAAATAATTAACAAAGATTATTATAAGGACATGTATTATATTATATTATTTTTAGTGTAATAAAATATCATGCACAGCATATTGTAAAGAATTGGATATAATTGTAACTGCTGATGCAGGGCCAGATAGTATGTTAGTCATATGGGATGCAAAGACAGGAGTACCTAGAAGAACAATATTTGAGCCACATGCTAATGGTGTTTAAGCAGTGGATATTAGTGAGAATGGACAATATTTGGTAACATTGTCAAAGGAAGAACCCGATAAAATATAATCTATATCATTTTGGGATTGGTAATCTCAAGATCCTCGTCTTAGAACAACAGTGTTAGATGATAAATTAAAGGATTATTAATACTATGTTACAATTAATAATAATGCTGAACAAAAATAAAATCAATAATAGATATTTGAATTTGCTACAACAGGTAAAAAGAGAGTAGTCTTTTGGAGTTGGGAATATGGAGCAGCAGGATTTGAATATTATAGTCCTGAAGTTCAAAAGAACAAGGTTTTGACTTAGACTGTTTTTATTCCAAAGAACAAAAATGTAGTAACAGGAACATTAGATGGATATATAATAGTTTGGGATGTTTCTCTAATTATTGAAGAATATGGATAGCCAGATGAAAGAAGAGTAATTAAGATAGTTAATCTTATGAATGTTGCAAATAAATCTGAAACTTAATAAAAGAAAGGAAATGCTTAGATATTATTATTAAGAGTATAAGGAAGATATTTAGTAGTTGGAGCATCTAATGGATCTGTAAGATTTTATGATTTCAAATTCAGAATACGAGCATGGTTTGAAGATGTTGTTATTGGATAAAATGGTTTAAATATATAATGTATAGGATCAATTACTAATTTATCATTTGCAAATGAGAATATGTATTAGGAAGATTATGAAACTGAATCTGATGAGGAGAAAGATAAAGATGAGTAATCTTAGAAAAAGTCTAAACCATTTTTATGTTAAGATTTTATTGTTGTGGATGATAAGGCAAATGTTATTTTATTAAAGTCATAATAATTTTAAGAAATTGAAAAAGAAAAGAAGAAAGGAACAGTAATTATGTCATCTATTGTTTCACCTATTATTTCTATATCAGTTAGACCTAATGTACCTGTAGTTGCATTTAGTTGTGAAGATAATAAAATTTATGAATGGAATTTTTATGAAAAACACAATAAACTTAAAGAAATAAAAGAAAAGGGTAGTGAATTACAAATATAAAGTACATTTATTGAATATAGTCCTGATGGTAATTATTTAGCTGTCTGTTCTAAAAATGGAATTGTTCATATGTATGATTGTAGAGAAGAGAAATGGCTTAAAAATTTATTAGTTTCTGAAACTGATAAAACTAAACCTAAAATAAC